ATATAATTGTAAGTCAATGGTTATGTAATTCACATTTTTATTTATATTTTGAAGCAAACAAATGCAAGTTACGACATTTGATTTTGAAAACGTCGTAACTTACAATAACGTTATTGAACTTTCTATTGAACTTTGGTTTTATGTTAAACAGATTAATGAGGCATAAAATTATACTCGACGGATTCGCTCTCCACGATGGACCGTACTTCATCACAGAAACCCAACAAATGTCCAATGTCAATGGAAGACAAGTAAGTAGAACTGTTATCATATGTTTTCTTCATAAGTTTTGTTTACATTGTACATACGTACGTAAGTACCGTATCAACCTTTTGGTTATACGGTAAGGGACTGTAACCTGTGCAAGCAAGCCCGCACAGAGATCTACTCAGTCCTTCGTACCCGTTTGCACGGACGTCTGAACTGCCCCGAGTGCACGCACAGCACCCTCCCTATTTTCCAGATAGGTACAGGAGCTGTAGGCACGCTCACTTCCCGTCGCCGAATGAACGGCGTCTCTCCAGTTCCCAAATACCTACGTGTCTGGTGGGACCACAGGATGTCTAGCTCATCCTCTCCTATCTCTTCAGGCTAGAGCCGGTAGCAGTGTTAGGCCCTCGTCCGCTACTAAGACCGCTACTAGGACGCGCTAACTGCGCACGGGGTGAACAATCCTGTCACATGCTACGGAGCAGATGAACGTGTTCATCCCTACTACTTACCGGGAAGACTATCTCTTGGGTCGGTAGATAGGGAAGTAATTAGAACAGCCCCATATTTTTCTGCATTCGTTTTAGTTTGATTATAGTGACCCTACCTACCGACCCTTAGTGTACGAGTGAGCATTATAACTTTTGCCCGCACAGAAACCTTACAAGTTCAGGTTCTGACCCCAGATCCGCCAGTGTACAGGGTTGTCACAGACCTGGCACCTGACTTCATCCGGTTCTCGAGAGCCTAATGCCTCGGGTAAGCCGACCCGGGTACACGTACAGTACTCTCCCTATTTTGAGATAGGTACCGGAGCTGTAGAAACGCTTACTTCCCGTTGCGCATACGCAACTGACGCATGCCGCCGCTAAGCCATTGGTTGAAGTCCACTACCAAATCTCCTCTTTAGTGGCGTAGCTGTAAGGCACGCTCACTTCCCGACGTCGAAAAATGGCGTCTCTCCAGTTCCCAGTAACCTAAGCGGCTGGAGGGACAAGAGGATGTCTAGCTCATCCTCTAGTTAGTTAGCTCTCGAGGCTAGTGGTGGAGATGCCGGTCGCAGTGTCCTGCGACAATGTCTGGACATAACTTACGACTTACTGGTCGCTGCGCGTCGGCGGTCTCCGCGCGGCGTTAACGCGATGAAGTTCGTGTCGAATAAGTCGAATCATCCGTGGAATAAAGACCTATGTGCAAGATGCTGCTTATTTTCGGGACATTGTAGATTTCGTTTGTTGGTCTTGACTCCGGATATCTAAAAACGCCTTTTGAATAACGAGATTATGTTTTAACCTCTCTCACTGTATAATCACATCGCACTTTGTTGTTCGGATGAGTCGAAATGTGCCCTAAGGCTCAATTGACATTAACGCTAAACATAACGGAAGGCTGTGTTTGCGACAATAGATAGCATCATCAGATCAGGACCCCAAGTACCGTTACGGTGGAGCCCCCTGTGTTCCGTTTTTGAAGGGTAAGGGTGCTGGTGAAATTATAGACACATGACACTTTGTTATAATTATCAATACAAGGATCGAACACTCAGAAAAAAATCCTTCGATCCGGTCGGATTCGAACCGACGTCTTCTTGCATACCGTGCCCGACGCTATACCAACTAAGCCACGGAACGAACCAGCAGACCTCACGAATTTTTCTATGTGCTTGTTGTCGCGTCTTTGTATTTGGTTTAACATAAAAAAATAATTGAATATCAATTCAATAAAATTTAAACACATGAGACTTGTCAAACTTTGTGTCAGGGTGACGGGCGGAGTGGGAGTGCCCCTCAGATCTTTGCGATGCGTCCCGTCTCTTGATATTATATAAAAAAATACTTTCCCTGGTCTCTTCAAATGTTACGGTTATCTTATAACTAATATCATTGACTTACAATTATATGGACGTCGGGTCCGCGCTAAAAAGTGTCCGAACTTATAGGGCGTTAAAATCGTATACAGAGCGTCATTCACGCTTTAGTCTTCATTTCAAGCAAAATTAGACAGTACTGCGATGACATTACAATTTAAATTCAACGTTTTAGCTTTTTCATATTCCTTTACATGTCACTACGTTTAAATAGGTTGACTTGGGACATTTTTTTCGTGGTTTTTGTATTAGACCCGTCGTTCATTTATTTGTAAGACAATGACTAATACAATGCAAATGGCAGACAGTTGATGATATGAGCTCCTTAACATTGTACAGCGTCTATCAAGTGTTTGGGCTCATGTGAATAGTATTATACTCCATCCAACCATTTATTTAACTTTTGACATATGCATGCCTCCGAAGTTCCTTTATTATTGACATACAAACATAGACAAAAAAATGCAATACTTCCTGAACTCTTTTATTTTTTTAATTTTAGTGAAGCAATGTGCTCTTTAGCTCCGATATTTATCGAGCCAATTAATACATTATATAACGAAGATTATTCAAATTGATAAATTTTGGTACCTGTCTAATAAGTTACAATAAAAAGAAATAAATTATAAATAATTATAATAAATTCTTATCGTTTATTATAATGAATCGTCGGATTATTCCTCGGGAATCCTAACTTGAATCCTCATTAACATTAATTATTAATTCTCGAGTACACAAATTGTCAAACGCAACATCACGATCCCAATCAGACAATGTCTTCTTTTTCCAACCCGCTCACATTCACTATTAAAACTTCTTCATGAATAAATTCGATTGTTATAAAAAATCGAATCGGAAACGCATTAGGACACCACTAATTGATTAGAATTCGAGCTGTCAAAAGTGAAATAAATGGTTAATAATAATAAAATGTTTATTTCAGTAATACAATTAACTTTACATTAACAGTGGATGGTACCTCCTATTAAGCTTATCAAGCCTGTGTCAGAAGGCACCGCTCTTCCATAGCTATAAATACATATTTAACATTTTTAACTTATACTTAATGTAGTGTTTAATTTTTACATTTCCAAACATCGACAAAAACAAAACAAACAATTTTTTTTTTTTAACAATTTTCAATTTTCTTAACTTCTAATTTTAAATTTAATATGAATCTTAAAACGTATGTGTGTGCATTTGTATATGAAAAATTATGTGTGTGTGTGTGTGTGTGTGTGTGTGTGTGTGTGTGTGTGTGTGTGTGTGTGTGTGTGAGTGTGAGTGTGTGTATGTATGTGTGTATGTATGTATGTATGTGCGAGTGTGTGTATGTATGTATGTGTGAGTGAGTGAGTCTGAGTGTGTGTATGTATGTATGTGTGAGTGAGTGAGTGAGTGTGAGTGTGTGTATGTATGTATGTGTGTGTGTGGGGGGGTGTCTGTGTGTATGTGTGTTAACCTGTTGCCATAGATTAGGAAAGTAGTGTTTTTAAAGCAACTGTTCTAATAGATCTTCGGTTTCCTCATACGATTTCGACTGTAGCCATTTTGATGCAACTTTTTTGCAGTCTCTATAACTTTTGGCGTATATTTCTAATTCCTTATTAATTAAATTGTACAAATGGGCCGATCGTTTGCTGAATTGTCTGTTTGCAAATGTTGTATTTACTTTTGGTACTTGTGCCACAATGTCTTTCCTTCTCCTCTTCGAAATATTTAGATCATATTTTAGAGACCTATGTTGTCTGAGTACAGTTTGAGAGAGTTTCCTTACAGTGGCTAAATTTGATAGTTGATACAAACTGCTAGTGGCAAATCGTCTTTTTTTAAAATACATTATATAATGGTTGGACGGATAGTAACGTGGATTTCCATCTATTGTTGAGATCGCGGGTACGAACACATCGAAAGCAGATAAGCAAACTTGTGTGATCGGATTTTTTTATAAGAAATTTATAGTCGTAATTATTCATTTCAGATACTGTACTATAAATGGGCACAATACAAAGCCATGCTGTCATCTCAGCCTCTATCGGTTATCAACGAATACTTTGGACCCAAGGTAATTAATTATTTGGCAAAAAAAATCTGTAAGGTCAGAACCCCGATTCTGAAATCTTCGATATCTTAACCGAATAGTTCAATTGTATATCGTTCTCGAATCGAAGGGCGCTTTCCGAGCTATTCAGAACATTCGAGTTAAAACGTTGGATTCCTCAACAACGCTTATGGAGTTAGTCGGCGAATATAGATGAAGTATGAAATCCTTTTATATACGTTTTTAAGACTTCTTAAAATATAGGAATGCATTAGTCTCGCATTAAAATAAATTAATAAAATTGAACAAAATCCTAACTTTATTTAAAAAAGTAAAAGATTTTCATAATACATTCTTGCATTGTAAACAATAGGACGTTCGATAACTTTCATTCGATAACGTGTGTTCTGAATAACGTTTGTAGCCTTTGCCGGTCGAGAAATACGAGTAATCGTACGGGTGTGACGTCATTTCGGTTCGGTTTCGAATAAGACAGTTTGACGTTCGATTCGGTTATTGTGCATAAAAATTAAAAGATATCGTACGCGATCTAATTGAATCAGTCGACAACATAGTTATCGTAAGGTTCTGAATTGACCTGCTGGTGTTATATGTATATAATGTAACACTGCCTCCGTGACCGAACGGTTAACGTGCTGGTCTGTCACGCCGGAAAAAATGTCTGTATGGCCTACAATTATGTATCTCGTGAGATTGGGCAGAGAATAAAAAAGTAACGTGAAAGAACACTCTCCGCCCCTCCCTAGCTTTAAATACCTTACTGCGCCCCTGATATTAACGGTCACATTGACGGAACGGCAACAAGGCTATCAGCACGCCCTTCGCTAAGGCGATTTTGATGTTTAAATTTGGAATTTTGAATATAATATTATATTAAGACCTTTGTTCAAGCTACTTATTTGAGTTTATTTAACTTAACTGGTGTAATTATTATTAGTATTTAATGAATAAAATCATTAGTAGGTATTATGTAATGGTCATAATATATTATATACACATACAGTACATTGATTTGCTCTTACAAAGTCACTGTGCACGTTAAACTAGAAAATAAAAAGTGATGGATAACACTGACCACTTCACAGACTCATTTGCGTGTGTGCAGACAGCGCCTTACTGTACGTAGTAGTAATAGGTAAACAAGTTTCTACCATTATATGTAGTGTCCGGAGTGTGGTTTGGGTGTAATTTGTATTTGTCTATGTGTGTGTCCATGGCAACCACTATACAGGGTTTCCCTAGTGGGGGGACTATGAGGTGTGCGCGTTATTATGATTGCATACAATACTTTTTCTACAAACAAGTTAAAATAATGAAACACGACTAATATTTAAAGATTATTTTATTCGTATTGTTTTTAAATAGTTCTTTTATGCCAAAATGTTACGACTATGTGCATATTATATAACATTTTGAGATATTATATATAGTGACGTCATTGTGACGTCTGGTCTTTTTAGCAAAAGTACTTACTTCGCTGGCTCAGCGACCTGAAATGGATCTTGGCCTCCGACACAAGATACGCAAATCTTCTCTCTTCGGCTATTCAAAGCTCACACAGACTTTTATAGCCTTGATCGTTCCAGCGATATCTAATACGCCTTCTGCCAGTCGGTTGCCCCATATGCTCTCTTGACTGCACGATCCTCACCCATCCTCTCGACGTGGCTAAACCAGTGAAGTCGGGCCGATTTAGTCTCTCCCATGATGTTAAGCTCTTTGATCATCCTCGATCTCTAGATTTTTCCTCATACCTTCCATCTTCTTCCCTAGTTAGTCCCAAAATACTTAAAAAAATATTCTTTTCTTGAAACTCTGTGAAAGTTCTGTGTACAGTTACTATAATGAGATTTTTCAGATCAATAGCGAGTATTATAGACAATAGAATTTTGGTTCAGAATCTCGGACCTATTACTTAGGCCACTCGGATACACGGTACTCGACTTATAAGAACCCTCTTTATGCAACAATTGCGTAAAATACTATAAAGGGTTTTCCAATAAGGACATAACAATTTTGTATAATAAAACAAAATAATTGGGATCGCACTGAAATTTATTCCAGGTACACATGTTACATTTAAGAATGGAATTCGATGTCGTTCATATGACCACCGCAAGAACGTTTCCAGCGGTCACACAGCTGGTTATATAATCGATCTATTGAAGGACGTTCGATAATCGTGTAATATCGCTAAATGGTCACACACATAGACAACCACAAAAACTCACGAGAAAAATAAATGTAGGCCATGCAAATATTTCCCTCGGGCATGGCCCTGATGTGTGTGGATAGTCCTTTATAGCCAGACCTGTGTGAGAAACGTTAGAAGGTAAAGCAGACCCCGATTCTCGCACCGTGCTCGCACCCAACAAAGACTCGGACAGCTAAACGACCTTGTATAATATGGAATATTTAATATACAATATTATTAAATATGTTATATATACCTAATATATAACAAAATTATGCTCTTGTGGACTATAGACGTTAGTGACAGCCAACGTCATTCTGAGTTGTTAACTTTAAATGTCTTTGTTTGCAGCTTGCAAATTTTTTTGCTTTTTATCAATTCTACATATGGATGCTTATGTTTATGGTACCTATTTCTATGTGTATGCTGTTGCCCGCATGGAGAGTACTCAGGAATTTGTTGGTCGGTGAAGGGTAAGTATAATAAATATATATCTATCTGGTCCGTCCCAAAAGTATCGAACATTTTTCAGGAAAAATACTTTTATTGAACTTATCGGTACCATACATTAGTACTCTTCAAAATAACACCCTTCAGCATCGATGCACTTTTGTAGGCGAGTTTTCCATGCCCGGAAGGCCCCCTGGAAGACGTCAACGGGTAGGTCCTTCAGCGCCCTCGTCGTAGCTTCTTGGATGTCCTTAATTGTGCCCCAATGCTTGCCTTTGAGCTTCGACTTGATGCTGGGAAACAAGAAGAAGTCTGCCGGGGCGACGTCAGGACTGTAGGGAGGCTGCGGGACCAGCGGGCTTCGTCGGTCACCTCTTCCCTTCCGTCACGGAACATCTTGTGCCACTTCCTGACCGAGGATTCGGACAAGGCTTTGTCCTTGAAGGCCTGTTTAATCATCTCGTTGGTTTCCACAGTATTTTTGCCGAGTAGAACACAAAATTTCACTGCGTACCTCTGTTCTAACGGATCCGTCATCGCGCTACTTTTAAAAACTTCGACGAGGTGTCGTTTAGAGCTCTACGCGAACGCACGTCCTGCCGCTCCAGGTGCTCGGAGCCAACTGGGACCGGTCGCGCTGTATCGGCTAGATCCCCCCACCACTTTCTGTTGCCAAGCGGAGCGCTTCCCGCCGTTCGGCAACACTCCCAAAAAAAATGTTCGATACTTTTGGGACGGACCCTTATATATGTCAATAATAGTGGTTAGTAGCAGTAGAGCTCCTTGTGTTCAAAGAGTTTATCCAGCGAAATACTGCATCCTTACCTATTTCTGCCGCCAAGCAGTAATGTGAACATTGCGTTCCAGTTTGGAAGGGCAAGGGTGCTGGTGAAATTACAGCCCATTACATTAATTATGTCCCAGCGTGACGGGCGCAGTGGCAGTGTCCCTAAGATCTTTGCGATTTAAAGCTCTGAGTGACTCTGGTACTGTTATGGACAGGCGTGTAGCTTGCCATCAGGCGCACGACTTGTTCGTCCCGTCACTTGATATCGTAAAAATAAAAACATTGATTGTAAAGGAACTGATAAGATTTTTAACCTACTTGAAAAACAGGCGGAGGTTCTCATACCACTCGAGTTATTTTATTTCCCTTTAGGGGATTGTGCCCACCAGTGCCAACCCTTTTAGTACAGAAACCCGCAAGTCGCAAAAACTTTCTATCTGTTTGATGGTTAAAATCAGTGAGCATAAGTATAATACTAGAGACGCAATGTTCTAGAAACAGTTATCTTAAATGTGGGACCACTTTGCAAATTTAAAGACTAGCTTTGAAACTGGTTGCAATTTTAAAGAAAAATACATATTTGATTATCATTCTCGTACCAAGTGTACCAGTACCAGTGCATGGAAGCCATCGAGATCACGAAGTACAAAACATTTAACCGTGATGATGGTTTTAAACTGTCCAGTGCATGGAATCCGATCCTTAGTGCGTGCAGTAATAAAAACAAAAACACCTCGAGTTCAGTTTCGCGTGTGGATACAGTGAGTGTGGTTTGTGTGAAAAAAGTGAGTGACAATGGTAACGCCACAACAAATCGCGATGAAGGTAGTCGTCGACTGCGCAAGAGGGTAGACAGATATGTCTGCTCATAAAGCTGTCATCTGCCGCCGTCCAGTCAACCCGTGACCATGGAGCGTGCAACCGTTCCGAAATATCGGGAAAATAAAAAGAAGTCATACCGTGGTAAGAAACCTGATACTAGTGATAATCATTTAGTGAATAACCACGAAAGTCTTAAAATCTATATAAAAATATATTTCTCGTTTTTTCTATGTCTAACTTATTATGTCAAAATGAAATAGTCATAGTGCATTAAGGGATACGACCAGTGTTACCGGTTTAGAAATAATTTTCCCTAATTTCCTGTAGTCTCACCGGCGGAAAGAGACAGTGGAGATAGATAGTAATCAGAAATGGAATGAACGAGTGACTGAAATGTATATCAAAATGTACGAACTTAAGGGTCCACGCTTGGAATTCATAGTTCTTTCAAATAATTTGTAAATATGAAAGATGACTTTCTAATCTTAGGGTCGTATTCCAGAACTCTACTCAATGCTCAAGTCAGGATTGCACTGGAAACACAAGCATTGGAAATACGACCCTAATGGCAAGGGACTTGAGTCTGATTTCGAGTGCTTTAAACCATACTCAAATCCTGACTTGAGCATTGAGTAGAGTTCTAGAATACGACCCTAAGTTATTCATTGCTTCTCTAGTATTTTTTAATTATTGGATAAAGGTAAAAAAAATACTGTTTTCCGACAAAATTTCTATTTCTATTTAACCAAAACAAATTTATAAAGGGGTCAACATTTAACTATAGTTTAAAATTATTAAGCACCACTGTGCATCATTAGCTTGTTGTTGAACTGTCTTGTGTTTTGTTACTCAAAGTATCTTTTCGTAAAAGTCGTATAATTTTTATTATATAATTTAATTGAATATATAAGATGATGGTGACTGATGTCACTGTCCGTGGATACCGTTTGAAGGCGCAGATTGCGCATCTATTGTTTACAAGTATTGGTTAGAATACAGGGTACCTATAATATGTTGAGAATTTGGCGTGAAAACGGTTTTCTCCTGGTGTTTGCGCCACCTGTGAGGACTTATGACAGTTTCTTCACTCTAGCAGGCTTACAACTACCAAAAGACTGACAAAGATGTCGCTATATTCTTAATATTGTTATTAGACCTCTCTAAACTCACGCGCTATTCCCGCGCGAAATCACGGCGCGAATCGCGGCGCGGATCGTGGCAAAAACTCGCGCAGGTCTTGGCGTCTTCCCTTTCACTGTGCCGAAGCGGCTACGAGCGGGTAGATCCACACTTCAAAATTCTAAACAGACGCTAGACCAAGCACCGTGAAAGATACGGGTTAATCGAGCCAATAGATCTAGAATTAAGCGTTTACATACATTTGATTTACACGCACCCGCGCCCGCCGCCACTCTCAATAAGGCCTTGACCGTGTAGCTCCGGTGCCTATTTGGAAAGTAGGGAGGGTGCTGTACGTGCACCCGAGACGGTTCACCTAAGGCATTATTAGCCTTTCTGGGAACCGGATGAAGTCCGTGCAAACGGGCTGATCCGGGGTTAGGATCTGACTTAGATGGTCACTGTGGGGGTTCGCTCGCCCTTTCCGCATAACCAAGAGGTTGATAGGGAGGGTCACTGGAAACAAAACTTATGTAGAAAGATATGGGACTGACCGTGTACCTTTCTGTTTCACCCTTCATAATATGATTTCTGTTACAGAGCTAACATGTACTGCCAAGCTTACAAATTGGCTGTTAGGCATTTATGTCCATCCTTTTTTTTAAGGGCGGGAATCTTTATAGATACCCCTGAGCCCAGGGATACTCAGGGGTTATGTAAGGACTCTCCCTCCAGACTGGAGAGGGTCTACCCCTAAAACCCGCCCGGGTTTACCTCCCACCGGTTGAGTCGCCGCCGTGGGGTCGGTGTATATTCACCACGATGCCGCCCGGCCGCCCTAGCTTGCGCCAGGGCTCCCGCGCCAACGGAGGGGCAGGTCAGTTGTCGTCCGACACGCCCCCCAGACGAGTGAGGCCATGCAATGCAGGCTCCGGAGTCCCTGTCCAGAGGCCGCTGGTCTCACTAGGGGATCAGGCGAGCAGCGAACTGCCTTCGCCTTCTCCCCGTACGTCTGCGCCGAAGCGGGCGCACATCCGCCGCGTTCTCGTGCACCCGCTCCGCAGCCTCCTTTTGCGCCATAACCTCTCCGCAAAAGGAGGCCACCGCCTCCCAGGCCTCCTCGCTACCGAGCATAGCGGCAACCACGCCCGGCAGCGAGAGGTCCTGCCCTATTGTCCCCGTCAGAGTACGGCGCTCCTCATCCCACTGCCTGCACACCTCTAGGGTGTGCTGCGCGGTGTCATCCGCAGCGCCGCACTCGTGGCACGACGGGGACGGTTTCCTCCTCGCCACCTCGTGCAGGTAGTGACCGAAGCAGCCGTGCCCGGTCAGCACCTGCACAAGGTGGTACGACAGTGGCCCGTGGGACCGGCTCACCCAATCTACTGGGACAGGAGGGATCGCCCCTATGGTACGAGCTCCATAGGTAGGTACCGCCAAGCCCTCTTTCCACCGGTCCTGCATGCGTCCTCAACCTCTAGGGGATCGGGGCGCTCGCCAATGGGGAGGGTGCTGCACTTGCACCCGGGGCGGATCACCTAAGGCATTATTAGCCTTACAGAGCCGTGCAAACGGGCTGATCCGGGGTTAGGACCTGACTCAGACGGTCCCTGTGCGGGTTCGCTCACCCTTTCCGCATAACCAAGAGGTTGATAGGGAAGGTCACCATAAACAAAACTTATGGGACTGACCTTGTACCTTATTGTTTCACCCATAATATGATTTTTGTTACAGAGCTAACATGTACTGCCAAGCTCACAAATTGGCTGTTAGGCATTTATGTCCATCCTGCTTAAACTTCAATGCATGCCCACTTCGAAACTTGAGTGACTTTTGCGAAGTGCACAAATTTGTTCGACTCACACAAAGGATAATGATCATGTCGCCTATATTCACTTTGTGGTGTAAGTAAAATCTACTATTATTAGTTGTTTGAACTCAGGCCGTAGAGGAACGAACCTAAACCAAAAACCAAAGTATTATCAGGCCGTCCAATTCACTTGTAACAGTAAAAATTGTTTTGTTGGGTCAAATGTTTTACTATTACATAACGGACTTACAAAAAATATACGATAATCATAAGGATATTGTCTAAAGAAAATCCAAATTCGTTCGCACTATAGAATGTGCTTTATCCAATCATATAAAATCCCGAAAACAAGTTGAAATAAAGTCTGAAACGAATTTTTTAAGCCATCGAGTATATAACCAGAAAAAGAGACGAAATGTCATTTAATTTGTTTGAAAACTGTTCTGCCAAATCATTACGATGACAGCTGCACTCCGATTGGCCAGCCCGAATTCAAGACAATTGACGGATGTCGTCAATTGTTTCACTTCAAATCGACAGTATAACTTGAACTTTGCTATAATGGACTAAATTGAAAAAAATTATCGACGAAATGCGATTCCGTTTGTTTTGTTGTTTTTCACCACACCACCGAATGGAACAGCCCCCGTAGTTCTTTATTACAATAAATACAGAATATTTTTGGAATATACGGAGACGTACACACAGGTCAGTTGTGGCGCTGAACTATTTCAGCTTTCTAATTTGTGATTTCAGCGCAAACGAGAGTTGATATTTAAAAGTGATATAAGGCCCACTTGCCTAATCAGTTGCCACGGATGAATGGCACTTATTTCGTCTCTATTTCAGGTTATATACTTGACAATTTAAGCGTAAAAGGTCTAACTTTGCACATAATTTTCATATGCAGATATTTCTCTACAGAGAACCTGTTGAATTTTGATTTTCAACGGAAGACCTATCATTTTTAAATTCACATCCCAATATTTGCAAATTGCTCATATATGCGCTATCGCAGACAGTGGTGTTTCCAGTTGCTTCTACTGGACTTATACACCCATTACCAATCAAAAAGTGTTAGATGTAAACAATTAGGAATTGCTGCTGACGTGGTAGATTTACCTGTAATGACGGCGACGACGTCGACGCCAATGTATAATCAGCACCACAAGCAACATAAGTGTTTCTTCATCGACCGCTACTAAGAATCGCTACCTGCGCGCAGGATGTACGCCCTGGCCACACACTGCCGGGGCAAACGGACGTGTCCATCCCTGCAACTGGTTCTGCAGACAAGTCCGGGTCAACCACAGTCCACCCTGACGGGTCGTAAGATATGGACAACACTGAAAGAACATTCATATGAATTCAGGCATTGAGCTGTTATCAAAGTCCAGAAGTAGCAACCGATAACTGTTTCTGGTTGCCGTTGCCGGCCATAGCACCCACGGTGTCCTACGATGGTGTCCTGCGTGGGCAACCAAAAGCGCTTTAACATATTTTTTGAAGTCTGTCCGCTGAAATTTCTCAATATACTGGTTTAACTATTATTACTATATAAATGTTTTCTTTTGGCAGGTGTTTTGTTTTTCTTCTTCTGGAAACGAAAGCAGAATTACTGGAGATGGTTATGGGAGATCAAACCTAAGCCTCGTCACCCCATTGTAAGGTAAATAAAAGCGACTCATGTAGGGACACTCCTAACCGCGAACATTCGCCTGTAATGTAACATTCAAGATTCGATTAGGCTGCGATTCCACCAGAGATGTGCGAGGTAACAAAGTGCACGTGCGAGTGCCTCACAGTGCCCACGAGTGTCTTTGGGTGTCCACGAGTGCCTTTGAGTGTCTTTGAGTGCACGTGCAAGCCTATCCATAATGGTTGCAGTGCCACTCAGAGCTCCGCAAAGATCTTAGGGGCACTGCCTCTGCGCTCGTCACCCTGAGACATAAGTTGACAAGTCCCATGTGCATGTAATTTTACCAGCACCCTTACCCTTCAAAATCGGAACACAATAATGGTCACGTTACTGGTTGGCGGAAGAAATAGGCAAGGTGACAGTACCTCCCTGGATGAACTTCACAAGGAGCTCTCTTAGTGGTTTGCCGGGGCATGGATTATAATTTTATGGAATAGAATGAACATTTCGAAAAGTAGGTAAAAATGATGATTTAATATGAAATAAGAACAGAAAATTATGCATATATCTGTGTATAGATGTATGTAGGTAAAACTATATCCATTAGTATAGAACTGCGAGTTTAAACATAGTTACTTCAATATTATATATTATATATTATTTTTCATTCAATTTTTTTGAAAATGTGATTTGAATAATGTGTAAGTTATATAGTCCTACTAGACACTATTATGTAAGTATGGTATTAATTAATAGTATTGTGAAATAATTTTTATTAATATTTTATTTTTAAAATGTGTATAGCGCCAATCTATTTGCAAACACCCTTACAGGGTGTCAATGGTACTGTTATTTTATAATTAATATCTTATTAACATGTGACTAACCAATAAACGATTTGAATTTGAATTTGAATATGAAAAATTAATGGGAAAAGGAAACAAATTTTGTTATTGAACAAACGTGAACATAGCCTTATTTTAAGTATAATATCG